TCAATGTTCATAGCGGCAATGTCTGCAATAGCCAAACTGTGGAAAGAGCCGAGATGCCCTTCAGCAGATGAATGGATAAAGAAGAGGTGGTCCATATATACAATGGAATATTACTCAGCCATCAGAAAGGATGAATACCCAACTTCTACATCCACATGGATGGGACTGGAGGAGATCATGCTAAGTGAAATAAGTCAAGCAGAGAAAGTCAATTACCATATGGTTTCACTTATTCATGGAGCACGAGGAACAGCAGGGAGGACATTAGGAGAAGGAAGGGAAAACTGAAGGGGGGGAAATCGGAGGGGGAGACGAACCATGAGAGACGATGGACTCTGAGAAACAAACTGAGGGTTCTAGAGGGGAGGGGGTGGGGGGATGGGTTAGCCCGGTGATGGGTATTAAGGAGGGCACGTACTGCATGGAGCACTGGGTGTTCTACGAAAACAATGGATCGTGGATCACCACATCAAAAACTAATGATGTATTGTATGGTGACTAACATAACATAATAAAATAAAATTTTAAAAAAAGAAAAGATAGAAGACCTAAGTAAATGGAAAGACAAGCTGTGTTCATATTTGGAAGACTTAATATCATAGCTAATTTCCCCAATGGATCTACAGATTCAGTGCAACTCCTATCAAGATTCTAGCTGCCCTTTTTTGTGTGTTAATGGACAAGCTGATCCTAAAATTCATATGGAAATGTAAGGGAGCCAGAATAGCCACAGACCCTGCACATCAGTCTTTCTGTGAAGGAAGCCTATTAGCTGATCTGCATGGCTGCAGCCTGAGGGGCAGGCTCCTACTGAACACACGTCTAGGGGCTGGTGTAATTCTTTCCAGAGACCTTGGAAGGCTGGTGCTGTTTGCATACTCACCCTCTCACTCACTCCAGAGCACCAGTGTTTCCTGGCAGGGAGCCTTCGAGGTGTCTGGTGTACTGGTTTTTGCAGCAGCTGCCCAGGTGACCCCCCACCCCGACATCACCTGCCTCTGTTGGCCAGGGCCTTCCTTGAATTACTCCTTTCCAGGGAACTGTGAGAATCAACGATGTCTCTTGGCAGGCTCTTGCCCCCAGAGCACTGAATAGGCAGCACACTGATGTACACACCCCAGTCTCGGTGTGAGGGGAGCCTCTTTGCTTCTCCGTAGAGCTGCAGCCTGAGGGGCAGTCCTAAGGTCTTGCACACATTTGGTGGCCTACAGAGCTGCTCTCAAGGAGCATAGGCTGTGGACACCAACTTGGTGCTCTCCCTCTGCCTTGCTTCCGCTCACCACTGTGATCCAGAAGAAAGCTTGTATAATCATCTGGAGCCCAGATTTTTGTGACTGCCACTCAGAGAACACCTCCAGATTGCCTGGCCTTGGTGGCCAATAGGACTTACACTTCCAGCCCACAGGACTGTATTATTTTCACACTTTCACAAGCTGCTGCCTAAGGGTCTGACTTTCAACCAACTTGAATCTAGGTGCTCAGATCCTCCCCTTTGCGCCACTGACAGATCTTGGCACATCCTCCACTACTGGGAGCTATTAAAAATAGAATTGGCTGCTTGGATAAACACAGAGGTTTCCAAGACAACTAAGAGCTGAGGCAGGGTTGAACATCAAATTTCATCTCCCATATAAGACCAATTCTTCAAGACTGGGAGAAGTAGTTGTTTCATCTCCTGTGTAGAAAGAGAGGGTCAGGCAAAATGAAGAAACTGAGGAATATATTCCAAAGTCCTCAATAAATAGCATTGGAAATATTGGACAGTCACACACAAAAGAATGAAACTGGACTGCTCTCTTACACCATGCACAGAAATTAATTCAAAATGGATTAAAGACTTGAATATAAGACCTGAAACCAAAAAAGTCCTAGAAGAAAACCTAGGCGATAAGCTCCTTGACATTGGACTTGGCGATAATTTTTCAATCTGACACCAAAAACAAAAACAACAAAAGCAAAAATTAAAAGTTGGGACTGTATCAAACTAAAAAGCTTCTGCACAGCAAAGGAAATCATCAATAAAATTAAGTCAACCTACTGAATGGGAGAAAATATTTGCAAATCATATATCTGATAAAGGGTTAATATCCAAAATATCTAAAGAACTCATACACCTCAACAGTAACACACACACACGCACACACACACACACAGTCAAAATAAAAGTGGATAGAGGATCTGAATAGATATTTTTCAAAAAAAGACATACAAATAACCAATAGGTACATGAAAAGATGCTCAACATCAGTAATCATAAGGGAAATGCAAATCAAAACCACCATGAGATATCACCTCACACTTGTTAGAATGACTAGTGTCAAAAAGACAAGAAATAACAAGCATTGGTGAGGATGTGGAGAAAAGGAAAACCCTGTGCACATTGGTGGGATTCTAAGTTGGCACAGCCACTATGGAAAACACTGTGGAGTTTCCTTAAAAAATGACAAATAAAAAATAAAACTACCATATGATCCAGCAATTCCACTTCTGGGTATTTATCTGAAGAAAATGAAAATGCTAACTCAAAAGGATATACACAGCCCGTGTTCATTGCAGTATTATTTACAGTAGCCAAGATATGAATCAATCTGTGTGTGTATGTGTGTGTGTGTATGTGTGTGTGAGGCAATATTACTCAGCCAAAAACAGAATGAAATTTTGCCATTTGCAAAAACATGGATGGACCTCAAGGGCATTACTATACGAAGCAAAATAAGTCAGAGAAAGATGAATACTGTATGGCTTCACTTACATGTGGAATCTAAAACAAACAAGCAAACAAACAAACCAAGCTCATAGATACAGGGAACAGACTGGTGGTTGCCAGAGGTAGAGATTTAGGGGGTGGGAAAAATGGGTAAACTGGTTTTATTTTATTTCTAGTTTTAAAAAAATTGAAAAAAAAAGGACTTCTCAGAGAAAGTCTAATTGCATGCTTGGGCAGCAGAGACATGAAATCGGCTTAAGGCAATTTGTACAGAAAGCAAACAAACTTCCCAAGATTAATAGGATTGTGTGAAAAGGAAACAGAGGGTACCTTGAAGGGACTTCTGGTGGCCAAAATTATGATGATTTAGGCTATAAAAGAACAATTATTATTTTTTAAAAAGTCCTCAAAATGGATCAGAGACCTAAATATAAGAACTAAAGCTATAAAATACTCAGAAGAAAACATAGACATAAATCTTTGTGACCTTGGATTTGGCAATGGTTTCTTAGATATGACACCTAAAGCATAAGCAATAAAAGAGAAAATAAATTTGGCTTCATCAGAATTAAGTTAATTTATGTTTTAAAATTAAAATATTTGTGCTTCAAAGAACACTATCAAGAAACTGAAAAGAATTTGCAGAATGAGAGAAAATATTTGCACATTATATATTTGATAAATACTTTGGCAGTTTCTCAGAAAGTTAAACATAGAGTTACCATTTAGCCAAGAAATTCCACTGCTATATATCCAAGAGAATTGAAAACATGTCTACACAAAAATTTGTACATGAATGTCCATAGCAGCATTATTCTAAAAGCCAACCAGTAGAAACAACCTAAATGTCCATCAACTGATGAGTGGATAAACAAGATGTGGTATATTCATACAAGGAAATATTATTCAATCATGAAAAGGAATGAAGTACTGATATGTGCTACAACATAAATGAATCTTGAAAATATTAAGCTCAGTGAAAGAAGCTAGATTCAAAAGGCCACATGGTGTATGATTCCATTTTTGTGAAATATCGAGAATAAGCCAGACAATAGAGACAGAAAGTATACTGGTGGTTGCCAGAGGTTGGAAGGAGAGGGAAGGGGAATTGGGAAGTTTCTGTCCATGGGTAGTGGGTTCCTTTTTGGGGTAATGAAAATGATCCAAAATTAGTGGTGTGGATTTCACAATTCTGTGAATATACTGAAAACCACTGAATTGTACCACTGAATTGTCTTTTAAGTATATATGTATATACACACACATTCACACACACACACACACAATTCTTTATTGTATGTCACTTATACTTCAATAAGGCTGCTGGAAAAAATAAAATTAAGGAACAAATACATATTTGTATATAATATATACCTTCCTTCACACCACTTCTCACCTCTACCAGCACCATCACTCAATCCAAACTATCATGTCTGTGAAAACATTCCTCACTGGTCATCCTGCTTCTAATCCTGTCCAACCCCCTGTCCTTCCCAAGAGTCTATTGTCTACACCAAAGCTGAGTCCCCTTTTGAAAATGTAATGAGATCCTGTCATTCACCTGATCCAGATCCCTTTTGCCTCAACCATGAGCAGTCCTTGGATTCAAGAAAGCCTGAGAACAGAGGTAGAAGTGTAGGAGGTGGAGCAGGACCAAGGTTGGGCACCCACTCAGTGTAGCCAGTTCTGTGCTCTCTCGGTCTAAACTTCTTAGTATCAGGTAGTTCAAATAATGGGCAAACTCCCATCACAACACTCAAAAGAACTTGACACTTTCCTGCTCAGGCAAATAACGAGTGTTTATTGAGAATCTAGCTCTGTTCTACTGAGCGCTGTCCTTGAGTATCTGACTCCCAGAGTTCAAGTCCAACTGAAGAAGCTGGTGTGCATTATCCATTTGACAATCATTTGATTTTCAAGGACCCACTACCGAAAAAACTATGGGAAGCTTCATAGAAGAGACAAAGGGGCTCAGAAAATCACCAGTGTGGGTGAGTCATGAGAACTGGTTCATAGTCAGAAAAGGACAAAGAGCCTCTAATTTGGATTGATAAAGAACACCTTGCTTCCTCTTACCTTGTCTCCCTTCTCCTCCAGGCAATCAACTTTTAACTTCTCTCTAACTCTTAACTCCGCTGTACAGCGGAGCTCTTGGAAGAGAAGTTTTATCTTCTCTCCAGGGGCTTGTTTATGGGTCATTTCCCCGTTTACAGGAATGAGCAAATCACCAAATCACGAGACCCAGCAAAACTGCAGGAGGCTCTGAGACTTTCAATTGTCTATTTCAGATCGAGTACAGACCATGTTCCTCCTTCCACTAATCATGAGCCTGGGAATGCAGCTTCATCAGACAGCAGGTAAGAAAGGAAAAAGGGAGGGGGTCTGAGAAAGGCGTAAGCAGTTGCCCCTAGCGGAAGCCAATGATGAGAATGGGGGTCCTCAGGCTGAAGGCTTTCTTTGAGAGGAAGTGGGATTACACTCTGTTACATGAACAGGAAAAAGAATGGTGCCCAGGGTGGCCCGCGCTTGCCCATGTCCCTGTCTTACAGAAACAATAACCATCTGGCAGATGAGGAAACTGGAATTCAGAGAAGTTGTTTCATTTACCCCAGATTCCTCAGTCACTAGGGCGCACAGGCAAGCTGGAACACAACTACTGTCCTCTCTACCCTACCATGCTACGGTGATGATGATAATCAAGCATGGCAGACAACCCCTAACCTTCCCACTTTGGAATGGGATTTTGGAATTAAGTTTGATTATTGACCTATATTGAATGTTGATACTGGACGTTCACAAAACCAAAAAGTATGTATGATGAATTATGTTTAAGAATTAACCAAAAGGAAAGTATAAACATGTTGTATCTTGCTTTCTCCTCCAATCTGGAATTCTTCTCTGCTTCCCACTTTACATTATGCAGATAGTATCAGTTCAAATAAATGCTAATTACCTGCCTAAATTGGACTGCCTTCTCCTCAGGGGTATTTTTTTTTTTTGTAAGTCTTATCATTTCATGTCTCCCTAATTAAGGAGTTTTAACTTCAGAGGTTTCTCGTAGAGGCTACCTGAGGGGAAAAAAGTAACAAAAGGATCTAAGGCCTGATGCGAAAGCTTACTTCTGGAGAGGGGAAGCGATCCGGGATGAGAATTAAAAAGGACAATCTTAACTATTACGTTTCCCAGTTTTATTTTTTTTTAAGATTTTATTCATTTATTTGACAGAGAGAGAGACACAGCGAGAGAGGGAACACAAGCAGGGGGAGTGGGAGAGGGAGAAGCAGGCTTCCCGCCGAGCAGGGAGCCCGATGCGGGGCTCGATCCCAGGACCCCGGGATCATGACCTGAGCCGAAGGCAGACGCTTCACGACTGAGCCGCCCAGGCGCCCCGCAGGTGTTTTTTTTTTTTAACAAGAAGTATGCATTTACTTGTATATTGAAAGAAGTATTATACCCTTGCTTTTCTATTAAAAGAAATATACAAGTTTTACTTGTATGATAAAAATATAAATTTTAAAATATAGGAATTCTTTTAAAAAGAACGCTTTAAAAAGCGTTTGAAGGCATTGGGCTGTAGCCTCCGGTGCCCGAGGACAGCCACGACTCTCAGGATGGCCACACTGATGGCCTCATTCCCCTCACTGTGTCTGTTCACCCCTAAACTTGCACTGTCTTTGAGAAGGAAAAACAGAGAACATGAATTGAATCAGTATAATTCTTTATTACCCTATGTAAATTTCTATTTTTAAAATTTTTTAAAGAATGCTTACAGCAGCATTGTTAGTCCTTCCAAAAAAAAAAACCCAAAACAACCAAATGCCCATCGACAGGATAATGCATAAATTGTGGTATATTAGCAGAATGGAAAAATATACAGCGTGTAAATAAATTAATTACAAAAATAGGCCAACTACATTTAAGAGTCTTAGTAGCATAATATTGATTAAAAAAACAAAAAATCAAACACAGAAGACAACATACAACACAGTGTCCTTTTTATAAACAATATATATGTATACATATACCTATATATATTGCTTATGTATTGCAATATACCTATATATATGTATAATATATGTATATAACGCATGTGATATGCATATCATAATAATATGATATAAGCAATATATATCTATATGATAGAGCTAAAAAATAAGCCAGAGATTAATAAACACAATATTCAGGATGCTGATTACCTTTGGTGGAGGAAGTAGATGTATGTCATTAGTAATGTTCTGGTTCTTGGGGTAGGTGATGGATTCTCAGGAGTTCATTTTACTTGATTCGATATCCTTTAAAAGTTTTCTGTATTTAAACTTTCGTGTTGTAAAAGATACCACAGGTACAGAAAGCCACATGAAACAAGGGTAAAGCATCATGTTACCATAACAGGAACACTTGTAACCGTCACCCTTGTCAAGTAGTAGAACTGTACCAGCCTTCCCCGAAACCCTTCCCCTGCCCCAGTCCTACATAACCCCCTCCCCATAACACTGTACTATCTACCCATTTCTCCATTAAAAAATGTTCCTAAATATCACTAAAAGAAATCTTAGTAAGCACTCAGCAAGGTATGTTCTTTATAGTTTCCAAATCAGCAAATACAGGTATCGCTCATTTTAAAGTGGCTCTATATATTTTATTGGACATGCTGTAATTTATTTAACCATTCCTTTATTGAGAGAAATTACAGTTATTTAAAGAACAGTTGTTTCTTGCTGGATTAATGTTTGAAAAAATATGTGTTTCCTAAAGACTGTGATGAAGACTGACTCTGAGTATGACCCACATAAACCATTCATCATGAACTCTTTTCCTTACTTGTATGTCTGTGGGGGCTCTATTCTGTTATCTATAAAACAGCTTAAAGTTTGAAAAGAAAAATTGGCAGAAAACATTTTCATTTCATTTTTTAAACATTTGTTTACTTTCAAACTGACATACGGTAACATTCAGTCTTTTTAATAGAAACACCTATGAGATTTTGGCAAACGTGACCATATAACCACCACCACAATCAAGATCCAGAACAATTCCACCACTTGCCAAGCAAACAAACAAAAAACCCTCCCTAACTCTTAAACCCAGGTACCCACTGATCTATTTTCTATCCTATAGTTTTAAATTTTCTGGATTATCATATAAATGGGATTATCCACTAGATACCTAGAGATGTGTTTTGTCTGGCTTCTTTCACTTAGCATAATGCAATTGTGATTTATCCATGTTGTTATATGTACCAGCAGTTTATTCCTTTCTGTTGCTGAGTAGAAGTCCACTGTATATATTTACCAGATTTTGCTTATTCATTCCCCAGTTGGGGGATTTTTGGGTTGTTTCCTGTTTTGGGCAATTACAGATCAAGTTGCTATAAATGCTTATGTATAGATTTTTTTGAGAACATAGGTTTTCATTTCACTTGGGTAATCCTACTCAGCTAGGGTAGGATTGCTGGGTCATGTGGTAAGTATATATTTAACTTTATAAGGAACCTCTAAACCTTTCCGTCGTGGCTAGACTATGTTTGCATTCCCGGCAGCAAAGTATGGGCCCTCCAATTTTTCCACATTCTTGGCAGCACTGATGTCGTGTTTCTTAAAGTCATTCTAATAGGTGTGTAGAAGTATCTCTTTGTGGCTTAATTTGCACTTTCCTAGTATCTAGTGATGATAAGCATATTTTCACATGGCAATTGGACATCCGTATGTCTTCTTTGGACAAGTTTGCATTCAAACCTTTTGACCATTTTTAATTGGTTTGTTCATTTTCTTACTAAGTTTTTAGAATTCTTTGTATATTCCAGATGCAAGTCTTTTATCAGATGTGTGATAAGCAAATATTTTCTCTCAGTCTGTGGCTCATCTTTTCAGTCTTTTAACAGTGTCTTTTGCATAGCCAAGATTTTAAATTTGGTGGAATTCAGTTGATCTTTTTTATTTTTTCTTACATGGACTGTGTTTTCGGCGTCATGTCTAAGAACTCTGCCTAAGCCAAACTCTCAAAGATTTTCTCCTATGGTTTTCTTCTAAATACTTTCTAGTTGTACATTTTACATTTAGGTTTATAATCCGTCTTGAGTTAATTGTCATAGAAGATATAAAGTATAGGTTGAAGGTAATTCTTTTTCTTTTTTGTGATTGGAGGTCCAGTTTCTTCAGCCCCCATTTGTTGAAAAGACTATCCTTTCCTCATTGAGTTGCCCTTGCACCTTTGTCAAACATCAGTTGGCCATATTTGTGTGGGTCTATTTCTGAACTGCATTCTGCAGTCTGTTCTTTGTGTATATGCTTTCCCTTATAGCACACTCTTCTGATTTCTGTAATTTTGTAATTCTTTTTTTTTCTTATATTTTTATTTCAAAACCTAAGGACATCTTGTAACCCAGATACATTTAAGGGGAAATATTCATTTCTGTACTTTGTCATGTCTTGGAGGAAAAGTAACCCCAATTATTATTCCTTTTATAGATTTTTTTCCTTCTTTTTTCATCCTCTGGAGAGGGATGAAAAACCAGGGGGTCACATGACCGTGGCGATGCTTGAGGTCACTCTGGGGTGGGGACCACACCTTGGGTCACTCCCTTTAACCTATCTTCAGGCTCTAAAACTACTTCTTCAGACCCCTGAGGTATACAAAGCAGAAGAATCAGGCTGTGGAAAGGATTTCTAAGAGATGAGATGTCCCCGTGCAGTATTCCTGCAAAGAGGAGCAGATGAGTCAGGTGCCCAGAGCAGGCTTCGATCCTAAACTAGGAACTAGAGTTTTCTGAAGACTGTGGTTTTGTAAAGCAAGCCCCACCTTTCAAGTTCATTAAGTACGGAGTCTGAAAAAAACTTCAGCTTCTGTTATCAAATGGAAAAAAATATATAAAATTAGCTTAAAGAGGAAGCTATCTTAGGAGGTAATGCAAATGATTTGTTTTGTGTTTCTGGAGACATGACAGTTGCTGACTCCTACTGATGCCTGACTGCAAATAAAATACACAATTTCCCTAAGAACTTTCAAAAAGGCTCCAGCATTACTGAAGCCCGCTGCTTTCATCTGTTTAAAGAAACTGCATGTGTGAATTTTTCATGCCCTGGCCAAATGTGTTACCCTTTAATTTAGTCAGGGGGGCCAAAATGAACGGGAAAACCTGCTTTGCTTTGTTTTTATCTGCTTAATTCTGTAGTTGTGGAAACTTTCCAATTTTCTCCTTTGTCTCATAACTTCAGGACTTCAGTGCTGGGTTGAAGCTTAGTATAATAACCCCTGATTTCAAGCTGTATTACAAAGGTATAGTCATCAAAACGGTATGGTATTGGCATAAAAACAGACACAGAGCTCAAACGGAATAACCCAGAAACACACACACACACACACCCTAAATGTATTTTCTTTAGCATAAAGCTGAGAAGTGTATCTATCTCCTTCATGGATGTAACATATACATGCCAGGGGACATATGGTCATATCCGTAGAGTTGTTAGTACAGGCTTTCAAGACACAGAGCTATGAACTGGAATTCCAACTCCATGAGCTACCACTCTTTGACCTTGGACAAGTTGTATCACTTCTGTAAGCCTAAGTTTCGCCATGGTGACTCCTACCTTGCGGAGTTTGGGGAACATCAGATGAGATGATGATGTGAAGATTAGCCCAGTGTCTGGCTCACTGTGTTTAATAAATGTTGACGATTACTCTGCTTCCCAGTAACAGCCCAAGTGCAGGCTCATGTTATAAGTCTTCTTCTCAGACAGTACTGTGCACATGAACCACCTCAACTTTGTTAAAATGTGGAGTCAGCTTCCCTAAGTCTGAGACCGAGCCTGAGATTCAGTGGCTCCCACTTGCTCCCAGGTGACGCTGAGGACACTTTGAAAGGTGAGATAATAGAAGATGTTTGCCTGCACAGGTGTTTTGCTTATCTAACCAATGGTTTTCAATACTCTGAGCATTAGAAGCTTCCAAGGAAATTAAAAAAAAAATTGATGCCGGCCTCACAAATGAATTTGAATTCATATTTAAAGGATCCAAGGTGGGGCCTAGCATTTTTTTTAAAAGCCTCCCAAGTGATTCCAGTGGTGGCCAAAGTTGAGGCACTCTGCTTGGTGACTCTGATGTGCATACAGGCTTGAGAAAAATATCTTCATGCCGCTGTTTGCAAGAGTGTTTTTTTGCCTCTGTAATTTACAATAAGTAAGAATAATTTAGGATCTTAAAAGTATAGTGCATTTCCTGAGAATTTATGGGGTAATCAAGCTCACAGCTTTGCCTGTCTTAGAAGCTTTAATTGAGGCAAAATTACACCAAATAACAATTAATCTTCTATTCTGAGCTACTCAGATATTTGATTCAGGTTTGCTAATTGCTCTTTCCTCTTATAAACATTAGCTGAAAAATAGGTAACACACTTTATGCCTACAACCCCTGTATGCGCACTCTTCAGGAGAGAAGAAGCAAGCAGAAAATGGATTTTTGTTAAAGGCCCAGAGTGTAAAGAGGGGAGTTCTGCTGTCTGCTATGGGGAGTTCCAGAGGAAGTTACAGACGTTCTCTCTCTCATGAGAAGAAAGCCTCAGTGTGGTAAAAAATTTGCTAAATAAATTCAATAGAGGCAACTCCCAAAGTCCTCTGACAGTTATATCTCAGACTCAGCAACTGAACCTTCTTGCCAATCCCATTTCTCTTCCCTGCTTCCTGCTGTATCATGTGTAATAAAAAAAAAAAAATAGGAGAGTAACAATGAATTCCTGAACCTGGTCGAAAATGGTTACTTATGTATTTGATCAATGAGTAAGTGAATATTCCTCTTCAGACCAGAGTGGCCTTGATAGCAAGTAGCTCTGTCTTGGTTAAACGGGGGACTTAATAACTCAGAATTTGGAGATGATCCCCATCAGAAAGGGATCTACCCTTAAGAGGGTCCTGTTAGGGAGAGCCAGAGGGAGAGTTACTACAAGTGGATTTCATGAAATGGAATCACGCAGGACATTCGGAAGCACGAACCTCTTCACATGGGACATCCCACAGTCTGCTCAACCTGTCCAAGCAAATGCGGGTGTGATCAGCAGCGTTTTACCGAGAAGCAGTGATGTTCCAGACCTGCTCCCACCCCAGCCTGCACAAAAGCACGCAGGGCAGATGTGAACTCTCTCCTGTCCCATAGATCTTTTAGAAAGGCACATCAATGTTCTAGTGATGGTGAAAACAGGGGTTGCAGGCAAAACGTAAACTTGCCCAGTTGTTCTTGATAAATCTCAAGTTGGGGCATAACTATCAAGTGTGCTGTGGGATGATGAAGAACGCCAGCCACTTTGTGCCACACGGGCAAGTTGCAGTTTGATGAGAGGAAAACAGAAGTGAGTAGGTTTAGGCTCATTCTTATTTCTCCCTCTTGTTGCCGTGTGCCCGACCCTGAACTGGAACGGAAGATACCGAAACATACTCAGCCTGGGCACTGCCTTCAAAGTCTTGCAGGATCATAGGAGGAGAAACTCGGGTCAGAAGGGAATTGCCATGTGAATCATTTAAGCCACGTAAACCCAACATTGGTTTATACTTTAGGATCTGTTGCCCAGGGGGCACCTGGGTGGCTCAGTCAGTGAAGCACCTGCCTTCAGCTCAGGTCATGATCCCCGGGGTCTTGGGATCAAGCCCCGTGTCCACCTGCTCCCTGCTTAGCAGGGAGCCTGCTTCTCCCTCTGCCCCTCCCCACCTTGTGCACGTGCGATGCACGTGCTCACTCTCCCTCTCAAATAAATAAAATCTTTAAAAAAAAAAATCTCTTACCCAGGATGGTCAGGGAATGGGCTGTTCTGGTTAATAAAATATCATGGTAAATAAGGAATGGCCCTGTGTTGCATATACGAATTACCACTCGCCCAAGAATTATAACAGGGTATGAAAGAAAGGAACCAATGTTTGCTGACCACCTATCCCCTGCCAAAATAGGGCACTTCACGTGTGCCATTTTGTCTAATTTTCACCACAATACTTTGAGGCAGATATTAACCTTGCACCTTTATAGATAAAGCAGAGGCTCACAGAGCTAAATGACACAGTCAAGATCAAAGGGCTCATAATCTCAATCCAGTTGATCTGTCACTAAACCCCATACCCTTAATGTACCACTTTTTATAAGGGTAAAAACTTCGTGAAAAGCATATGCTTAGAAGCCTCTGCAAGTATTTATTGAATGGATGTCTTGACTAACTGAATGAATGAATGAAGCAAGCTCTCCTGAGTTTGATCTGATCTTTTGTCATGATTCAGAAGTTACTTTAAGGTCTTGCCACACCTCCCTATAATGAATACCCTTTCGTTAATGATGGAGGCGGCATAATCTTGCAGTTCCCCACAATGTATTCACGCATACACTACCTTGGTTAGTTTGACTTTGCTTTACCACTCTTCATGCCATTGTTTTTACAGAATTCTTTAAAATCAACTCAGCTTTTATTCTTTGAGCAAAATGGTATACCCCTGTGGTAAATGGAAAACCAGTATCACTGTTACTGGTAAACAGAGGATATAAGCAAAAAACAAATGTGATGAAAGTAGTGTTATTAAATTCTACCCAGATATTTACAGTATCTGCCTGGGAGCTTTCTGTTTTACTAAAAGGAGAAATAGCCATTGTTGGAGGTGTGAGAGTCTAGTTGCAAATTATGTTACTTGAAGGGTTGAAACAGAATTGAAGAGGACGTAAATTCCTCCCTGAGTAATTCAGTTCCCTTTAGGCCTTAATTCTACCCTAAATAAAATTATCTTGCGGGCGCCTGGGTGGCTCAGTTGGTTAAGCGACTGCCTTCGGCTCAGGTCATGATCCCGGAGTCCCGGGATCGAGTCCCGCATTGGGCTTCCCGCTGAGCAGGGAGTCTGCTTCTCCCTCTGACCCTACCCCCTCTTGGGCTCTCTCTCTCACTCTCTCTCTCTCTCAAATAAATAAATAAAATCTTCAAAAGAATTATCTTGCATGCTTCATGTGTGCCTCATATTTTGGGAAATATTGTTGCAGTGGAAACTTTAGAATTTTAAGCCAAACATCTAACTGGCTCTGAATTTTTTTAAAAAGATTTTATTTATTTATTTGACAGAGAGAGACACAGCGAGAGAGGGAACACAAGCAGGGGGAGTGGGAGAGGGAGAAGCAGACTCCCCGCTGAGCATGGAGCCCAATGCGGGGCTCGATCCCAGGACCCTGGGATCATGACCTGAGCCGAAGGCAGACGCTTAACAACTGACCCACCTGGGTGCCCCAAACTCTGGCTCCGAATTTTAACTTTACTAACTGTATGTCCTGGTGTGAACCTCTTTGAGCCAGTTTCCTCAACTGTAAAACAGTAATAATAATAATACATATTTCGTGATTGTATTTTCAGGATTAAGTGACATAGTTATAAAGAGCCTAGCACAGTGCCTGGTGCACTAGGTATACACTAAATATTAGTTCTATTCTTCCTTTCTCCTTATTGACAGAAAAGAAGAAGCTTGTCCAGTGGGCTCGTGTGACTCGGTGTTTGAGGGCCCTTGGAGCTTAGCAATCCCTGGGTCTGATCCTGGCTACTTTCCTGTGCCTTGGTTTCATTTTCTAAAAAGAGGATGGCTCTCTACTTTGCTGGCTTTCTGGGAAAACTAAACGAGATTGTGTGTTGGTAGAGGACGAACACATAGTAAGACTCAACAAATGATAGTTATTATTACTCCCAGTCACGAGAGGAGGTCGTATTTGGCAGGGAGGGTATAATTTGATCCATATGGAGAGAATGGCCCTGGGTAATAAGACAGCAATCAGCTGCACAGGTGGGGCGTGTTGAGAGGAGAGAAGTACCTCAAAACAGCGGGTCAAGAGTCCCACTCTTGACCAGATAGGACAGGGCAGAGGAGAGAGAGGAGCCTGAAGGGCGGCCCACTTCATGACAGGGGTCTCCTGGGACATGGGGCTGGGCTGGGCCTCCTCAGCCCCTACTCTGTACAGAAGTGAGATGTGAAGGCAGACAACGGGAGAACGTCTTGTTTTTTTGTTCAGCTTTATTCACAGTGACGATCCCTAAGGAACTGTACACAGTAGACTATGGCAGCAATGTGACCCTGGAGTGTCACTTTGACACCGGAGGTCACGTGGAACTCAGATACTTAAAGGCCAGTTTGCAGAAGATGGAAAACGATACATCCTTGCAGAGCGAAAGAGCCAGCTTGCTGGAGGAGGAGCTGCCCCTGGGGAAGGCCTTATTCCACATCCCTCGAGTCGAAGTGACAGACGCGGGCCAGTACCGCTGCCTGATCATCTACAGGGTCGCCTGGGACTACAAGTACCTGACTCTGAAAGTCAAAGGTGAGTCGTTCCAAAGACTGGAATCTGTGGAGGCATTAGCCCAAGCCAAAAACTGGGAGGGTGGTTACAGGGAGACGGGGCTATCTTAGAGAAAACAGAAGCACCTGCCCAGAAATAGTTTTTAACATCTGAGTATAAAGCAGCTGAGGTGAAGGTAGTAAGGGTAGGAGTTGCAGGAATAATGTGGGTCTAGGGGGAAGGCAGGAAGGGGGTCCCTGAAAGCCAAAGATAAGCTTTGCCTGGCTCACAGCTCCCCCAAGGAACAACACTGACTTGATCACCAAGCTCCCCTTTAAGAGAAGCTTATTCCTCTAATCCAGAGTTTTTTAAACCGTGCTTTGCTGGCCGTTCATGGTTAAAGCATCATAGTGAGTAGCAACCAGGTGAGTGTCTTTCTCCAAATAAAATGAATAGATCAGAAGGCAACGCACAGTAGGGCTGAGCGTCCTTTTGTGAAACTCTTGTTTCAGAGGTGGTGTGTGTGTGTGTGTGTGTGTGTGTGTGTGTGTGTGTGTGTGTTATATTGTGATGTAAAATATTTTTTCTCACTCTGGGACATAGTCTAAAAAGTTTGGAAAACACTGCTCTAGTCCAAGCTTCACGTATTGCAAATGAAGCAGCTGATGGGGGTATAGCTCAGTGGTAGAGCGTTTGACTGCAGATGAAGCAGCTGACGTCCAGAGAAGTGAAGGGGGGTGGATTTGGGAAGCCCAGTCAGGTACATAGCTGTCCCCATTCCTCTAGGTTAGGGCTCTCCTCACCACAACACAAGCCAAGAACCTAAGTCTGAAGAGAATCTTCAAGTTTGTGTTTGTTTTGGGAAAGCCCTCTGACAAGTACAGAAGAACAGACTCGGCTCTGTTCACCAGCTTGTGCCTTTCAGCCCACATTGACTGTTCCGGGTTTTCTCCGGCTCCTCCCAGTCTCACCCAGTAAGCCTCAGAGGATCTGTCCTGTCTTCTGGAAAGTCCGTAGGCTTTGGTCCCTAAAGACCACTGACCTTGGCAGCAAACTCCAGAACTTTGAAGTTCGTCTGCTTTCAGTTAATGGGAGGAAAGCGGGCTTTACATTCTCATGATCCCCTGATGTATTCAGTGTCTACACCCCTAACTCACTGCCTCCGAGTTTGTTAACCTCTGAATGCTGTAATGCATGTAGGGTCTCTGGGCAATTCGAGGCCAGTCCTCCCACTCTTTCTCTCCAGCTGAGGGCTGCCTCTTGTTCCTGGGAAGCTATGTTGCCAGCTCATCACCTAGAGCGGAGATGGCTCAGGTGTGGGACAGGTTGATTCCTTAAATCTTATTTATTCTTGAAATCCTTGCCGCTTTTCAAACTACGGTATATGGGGAGCACAGGACTTTCTGAGGATTTGCAGAGGCACAGGCAGTTTTAGGAAATGAGTTCCTAATTCTTCATCTTCCCACATATTCTTTCCCCAAACTGAGTGTGCCTGAGAATTAGCCTTCCAGGCAAGGCTCTTGGGGTTCCCCTAAAACGCTTCCTTTTTTATCATCACCTTCTTCCACTTCATAGAAAGTGTACCTCTCACCAATGTGATGCGTTGCCTCGGGGTGCAGAAAAACTACATCCTGCTAAACAAAAGCCTGATTGGAAATATTGATCCCTTATCAAACTGTAATGACTAACAAATCCTTCTGCAAAACAGGTGATACCAAATTCTGTTCTCAACAAAGCTGGAGGAGGCCCTAATACAGTTAAGAGCTGATAGTAAAAAATGAAGTAGGGTTGTTGGTTTTTTTTTTTTTTTTTTTGCTGTATGAATCGTAAGGCTTTTAAGCATAAAATGACATCTCTATAACAAAACTGCTTCCATACCCACTTACTTGTTCATATGAGTAAGGTTCCTTCGCCTTTCTTGCCATAAAAATGGAAAAATTGAAATAGAGCTGAGGCTGATCTTGTCTCATCCCAACCACAGCCATCTGTATCTTGGATACATGAACAAATAAAAAAAGAGAGCCCCATCCATCCTCTTACGGGATACATTGCCAGAAAACTTTATCTTTTATGTTTAATCATTATCAATATTCATAATATTTTCCATTTTGATTTTATGTGTGTTGATAATAGAAATTAGATTTCAATGCAGAAGGAAACCAAACACTTGAGGCCTTGTGATCACAAGTAAAAAAAAAATTAATCTCAATTGCTGCACATATTTTGTTGTTGCAAAGAAACATAAGGATCACCGATACAGGAGCTTTCTAACATGTTGAGTTAGGATAAAATCCTATAGGAAAAGTGGAATGTGAACTGAGGGTCACGGAATGAAACAATGTGAAAAAGAGTGTAAAGCTCTGACCATGACAGGAAAATTTTTCTTAAAGATTTTACTTATTTGAGGGAGGGAGAGAACACAGAGGACGAGGGAGAGCAAGAAGCCGACTCCCCGCGGAGCAGGGAGCTCCATGCAGGGCTCCATCCCAGGACCCCGAGATCATGACCTGAGCTGAAGGCAGACGTTTAGCAACTGAGCCCCCCGGGCGCCCCTACAGGATAATTTTTATATGTATTTTTCCATGGACCGTGGTGTGTATAAAAGATACCTCCTTTGATATCTAGACAGCATTAGGTACATATGTAAGAGTGAAACCATTGTTTTACCTAAAATATAAATGTTTGTAAAATGCTAAACATTATATATTTTTCCAATACAGATACTAAGGAAAAATTTTAAGAATCTACCTAATAAATGTGTGAGAGGGTGCGTACTGTGTCACAGCCTTTTAGGAGGAATGCAAGCAAAAACAGGAAAAGCTGAAGACCATCACCTAAGAGTATTCTACCCTGATCAGGGGAGATCTGGTGCCTCAGTTAGGGTTTGCTTCAGTGAAACAGGACTGGAAGAAGTACGTGCTTTTTCCTTAAAATGCCTGATCTGTGGCCTAAACTTGAAAACAGGTTTATAGTACTTTCTTTGATATCTGGGCAACGGTTGATCTTAAATATAGTGAAAAGAGAACTAATTTTTTTTAAAAGCCCAGGAAAAACAGTACTAAGTAGAACGGCTAGAGAGTCAGAAACCTGTGTTTCTGACAGGCAGCTAGGATGGGTAGCCTGTCTGAGGGAGAGTAAGGACCGTGGCCCCATGGCCCCGTGGCCCCAAGAGGCCAGAGAGCCCAGGGCTTAAGCCCACAGGCCGGGAACTGGACGGAGCCAAGGGTCCCAGACAGACACAGCACAAGTCCTGAGAACAGAAGGGCCAAACCCGCCCCAAGGCCCTGGCAAGACATGAGGAGGGCAATGGGAGAGCGCCAACCCCCAGAATGGACTGAGGCTCACAGAAGTATTTCAAACCCACGAAAAGGCCCAGGCTCGACGGGAGCTTGACTTGAGCAAGTGGAGGAAGGGGGCAACAAGGCTTCCATTTTCTCTCCCAGTGGCCTTTACCCTGAGGAGGGGAAGACAAAGGAGCTGGAGAGGAAACGGCCCAAGGAAAGCAGTGAGCCTTGAAAGGCTAAGGGACAGTCGGCCTCTGGACCTAGAGAGCGTCTTGGCTTAAGGCACTTACTGGTGGGGCTAAACCACTCCCTCTCCTCCTCCGGAGAAACAGAAGGATAGTAAGGAAAGCTGCAGTTAACACAACAATATTCTGAATTCCTCAGTGGGCCACAGCTCCTGGGGTGTACAAACTGTGTAACCTGAGGTTCCTCCCCAGGTCATCTATCAGATGAATTGGGAGCAAGCCTCAAAGATTTCCTTCAGCGATTGCTAGAAACCTGCCTATGTTCTGTAAGACCAAGGCGTGTGAAACTACGTTTTTTCACCTTCGTTATCATCATCACGATGATAAGCAGCTAATACTACTTGGAGCTTATCTCTATTTCAGGGATGCTAGAGTTGCCAGTCGTGTAGGGATCCTATTGTCAGAGAGGAGCAGGGAGACAAACCATTCAAAGCAGCAGAAATTTAAATCCAAAAATAGAAATTCTTTTAATAGAGCAGACTGAGTAACTAATGGGGGGGGTGGGGAACAGGGAGGCAAATCAGCAATTAGCAATAACAAGAAGCTGCTGTCTGCACTGGACTGGAGGGAGAGGAAGAAGGCAGGGTTAATGGAGCTCGGGGGCTGGAGTCACGGGGCAGATACTGGAACCACAACGGGCCCATCCAGTGGCAGCAGGAGCAAGGAAGAGCTGTGGGTGCTGCTGGAGAGGCCATTGCAGCATAGAGCTGGGGGGGGGGGGGAAATACCCTAACTTCTCCCTCCTGTTTGCCCTCCAGACTTCCCACCGTGTCTCCCGTGGGCTGGCAAGAGCCTGGGAGACACGGCCTGCCGGAGTCAGCCTTCACACGGTACAGAGCAAAGAAGAACACTTGAGGGATGGATCTGGGAGCAGATAGGCCCAGGATCCACACAGCACACATCTTGTGCATAAACTGGTAAAATGTGAGATGAATAGTAGTGTAGTTGGCTAGAACTGTAACAGACTCAACAACTAATAGGTGTTGACTCAGGGCTAACAAAGGGTGATGGATGGTCTTGGGTCAACCAGGAGAGGGTCTCCAGGTGCCCACTGGGCTGTTATAGCCATCCCAGCTGCACCTAGATCACTCGTTAATAAAATTAATCTTATGACCTTAGGCTGCATTAAAACCCCACGTGGGCCTAAAATGTGCTCAACACATAGGAAGTAATTAGTCACACTGTGCTTCGTGCTGCTTAGGTTAAATCTGGAATATAGGTCATGTTACATTGGCAAACACAGGGAATCCAAAGACTGGTATGTGGCACTGGGTCTAAAAACTGTCCTGTGAGATATGGTTGAAGGAAGGAGGCATGTTTTACCCCAGAACGGAAAGACTATATGGAGTCTTGCCAATTATTTTCAAATACCCAAAGGATCATATGCAACAGCTAATAATAATTGCTAACATTAATTGAATTTTTACTATGTTCTAGGCACCTAACTCATTCAATCATCCTAACACGTCTGTTAAGGATAAGTATTATCCTACCTGTTTGTAAAAGGGAGAAACTCGAGGGCTTTAAAGGTCATGTAACCAGCCCTTGGCTCAAGCCTAATCAAACCACATTCTTAACTACTATGCTGCTCATATGTCGTCTTACTAAACCAGACAATTACCAATGGGTTGAAGCTGCCAAGAGGCAAAGTTTGACTTGGCAGAAGGATGATCTTTCCAGTGAAAGTTTAACTTTCTAATTGTCTAATCATGGTGATGGCTCCTCCTGGCAGTAGGAGCTTCCATTTATAGATGTATTTAGCCAATAGTTATCTTGCAGCTTACCAATATCAGAAAAGAAGTATTATTAAAGATAAGGGACATTTCATCATGATAAAGAAGTCAATATGACAGGGAGGCATGAGTCCTAAATGTGTGTACATCTAACAACATAACTTCAAAACATATAAAACAAAAACTGACAGACGTAAAAGGAGAAATAGATCCACAATCCTATTTGGAGATTTCAACTCATCTCTATTCTAACAGGTAAAGTAAACAAAAAAGAAAATAGAAGACTTGTGTAAACACAGCCATCTTGGCCTAACTGACACATGTAAAACTTACACCCAACAACTGCAGAGTAGGAAGTTGGACTAGTTTGAATTGTAAGATCACTTTTAGCTCTGAAATTCTAAAATTTACTCATCTCTTCCTAAGAATATCCCCCTTGGTCCAGCTTCCCCATTGTGTGTGGCTAATAATGATGCCTTTTCACCAACTTCCCAAATTGCACAAGGCTGTGGAGGCATCTTCAATATCGCATGCATGCAAGCTATGAGCTCCCATCCCTTCCCCCCAGCCTTGCTGGTTCTTTTCGCTGAACATCTCTCTCATCTTCTCCCTCATTTGTATATCCCGGGTTACAGCCTCCGCCTCCCTTCTGATTCTTGGCCCTCCTACCTCTGAAATCACCTCTCAACTTGGCCCCCAAGATCAGCTTCTTGTTCTGAGCTACCCTGCAGGAATGGGCCAGACCTTCATATGCCACACATTGCTCTTCTGCATCTATTTGTTCTCCTTCATCCCCTCCCCCCAAAGACCCCAGAGCTTATAGAAATAATCTACACTGTAATAGGATAAGTGATCATAAGAGGACATCAAACCAAGGGAAAATAAGTATAGATAAATAACATAAAAAGAGATTAGTGAGTCCTCAAAATGCTTCGGAGATCCTGTTGCGTTGCCAGAGGTAGATCAAAATTGGCTTCAAGGAGACTGATAAGTCCAACCAGTTCAGGTCTCACTAGGCTGCTTCAAAACCTGATTCTCCTCATCTTCTATGATTTCTGTGTGCCCCTAAGTCCCCGCCCTTCCTGTGTCTGTGGCTCCATCCCCAAACTTTTTGCAATTACACAGACAATCATCCTCTTATGATGATTCCAGTACAGAATTCAGAATAATGGAGCCACGAAGGGCATGGGTTCAAGTCCCCCTCCCCACCCCAGATTCCAGCTGTTTCCTTATTTATAAAATAGGAATATGAATTTTGCCTACCTCCTAGGGTCCTTGAAGAGTTTAAATGAGGTAATACATGCTAAAGAGATAGAATCAGGTTTTAGAGCCACTATCATCCCTGTTCCTCTCCAAGTCCTTGACCAAGTGAGCTATACACACAACAATCAGTAGCCGAATGGGAAGTGAACTCCATTTTTTAAATTAATAACCGGATGAGCACATGATTTTCTCCTTTCCCTTCCCCCAACTTCAGGGCTTCCCTGGTGGTTTACAGTGGAGAACATGACTTAGAATAAGGGCCTCTTTCTTCTTGCACCTTCATCTTAACTTAGAGTTCAGGTTTGCAGAACAGACCCTGAAGTTACTCATCTATCCAGCTTCATGGGTAAGAAAGTTTACCCCACCCACCCGGTCACAAGCAGAAGGTGGAAAACCGTGAGCAAGGAAGATGTGAGTTTTTTGAGGCAGGCCACCCAGGAGGCACAGCCGAGTATGCTTTACCGCACAGAGGCAAGAACTTGAGAGGGCCACGGATTGTGAACCGTGCTTCAAGACACAGTTGCCCAGTCCAGTGAACCGGGATCCAGGGAGCATCTTTGGCTATAACTAATCAAGTTAGCAACTCAAAACACAGCGACACAAAGGGAGGTGCTCAAGGGGCAAAAATTATGGAGAGGGTCCTAAACATTCCTTTCCCCTCCACAGTATGTAAAATCACAGGGCACGAAGCTTAGCACCTAGAAAACCCTTAGTACCTCGTGCACATTTGATGTTTTCCACATGTCTGTTATCATGATTTTAATGTAAAATCTCTTTTCACAAAGGGTGTGCCTATTTATACTCCTCCCAACAATTTAAGAAAAAAATAGTTTCACCGCCCCTGTGCCATATATGCAATCAAAGTTTGTATCAAAATTCTGTTTCTTAAATATTTCCTACCTATTGAAAGCTAGTACTCATTTCCTCTTCCCTTCACCGAAAATCAACAGGTTACTTTCCATGCTCCCTGATATCTGCATATGTTGTTAATATCTATTTTGGGCTATCATCTGAGATAATTGGGCAATTTGTCCTTGTGTCTTCCTACTGTTTTCAATGTCACTTGTATGCATTTTAGATCTCAGTTTTCTAGAGGGCAGGGAGCCACATTTGATTAATTCACTTGGCATATACTACACAAAAGTGTGTGTGTATGTGTGTGTGTCGTGGACAGGAGAAGCAAGGAGTAGATACAGCCAATTCTTGACTACTTATAGACAGAATCTGGGTCTTTATTTTTTCTCCTCCTAATCTCACAGAGAAGAAAGGAGAGGGGGAAGTGGGAAAAGAATTTTCTCCTGTAGGAGAAGCACCAAATAAAACAAGACTGTGGGGGTGATCTAGTCTCCAGTCTCCTCTCTCGTCCGTAGCCCTCAGCTGTGAGATAGTTTACAATCACACAGGAAGCCACAGAGTGTGGTGGGGTAAAATGCTCTTGAGATTTGGAATCAAACTTCCAGTGTGCAAACATTGGCTCTCCCAGTTATTAGCCCTGTGACTCTAGGCAAAATAATCTCACTTCAGTTACTCCAACAAAAATTGGGAATATCAACAATGCCTTTTTTGTTAGAAGAATTAAATCATTCAGTGTCAATAGTGTGACACCTGAGACAAAAGAAATGTGTAAAAAATTAAAACCATTATTACTTCATGTTGATAATGATAATTGTATTCACGTGGCATTTAGCACAAAGCCGTCTAGGAACCAGAAAAGAGAGACTTATTTCTTTTTCTTCTTGTATTATCCAGCTTCCTACAAGAAAATAAAAACTCATTTACTTAGGATCCCGGGGGTAGATGAGGTAGAGCTCACCTGCCAGGCAGAAGGTTATCCACTGGCAGAAGTGACCTGGCCAAACGTCAGTGTTCCCGCCAACACCAGCCACATCAAGACCTCGCAAGCCCTCTACCAGGTCACTAGTGTTCTGCGCCTAAAGCCACACCCTGGCACGAACGTCAGCTGTGTGTTCTGGAATGCTAACGTGAGAGAACTTACTTCAGCCGTCATTGACCCTCATGGTAAGAGTGCACCCTCACCGCCTTCCTAACTCCATCAGTCAGGGTTTAGGCACGAAATAGATGGCACACTCGGAGTGAGGATAGAGTGATAAAAGATCTGTATATGAAGGTGTGGTCAGGATTTAGAGAAGCTAGTAAAGCTATTGCAGGACCCTGGGGCTTCGACGGTCAGAGAAACAATCACCACCACTGGAGTGGTTACTGAATCCTGGGAAAGGGAGCTGTAGGGAACTTGCCCCTTGGCAGGAGTGGGGGCCTCCAGTAGAGGGATGCTGCCATCTGCAGCAGCTCTGATGGAAGCTGGGTAAATGAACTCCCTAAGCTCCTCCTCCTCCCACCCTCCAATCTCCTGCTGGTGCCTCCTATTGGCTGAAGCCACCTGGAAGTCAGAGAACAAGGGAGTCTGCTGATGTGTTCCGTAAAGGTCAACCGCTCAGAGCACAGTGTGGAAGTGTGGAGAATGGATCTGAACAGGAAACAAACTATCCAGCACAAAAGCTAACCCTTGTGACTCAGGTGCAGTGCAAGGAGTCAGCAGGATGAATATTACTTTGCTGGCTTTGCTGATAGTCAAGTGGTTATGGGGTTTCCGAGGAAAACTGGCCTTTTGTAAAGCCTTGCGGAGCCTTTCCTGATTATGCTGAGTCCCACCTTTAGAACTTCATACACCAGGGCAATTTTTTTTTATTTGCCAAATAAGAGCAACTAACATCTAGTATCAAAAATCTTTCATAAGAGACAGGTCATCTTATCACCAAGCACATCGTACGTTTCCTAGTGCTCCTATAACAAATTACTGCAAACTTTGTGGGCTTAAGACAACATGAATTTATTAGCTTACGCTTCTGAAAATCAGAAATCCCAAAGGGGCTTTGCTGGGTTCAAATTGTTGATAGGATGGCAGGAGCTCTAAGGGAGAGTTCCTTTTCTCATTTTTTCCAGCTTTTATCGACCACCTGCATTCCTTGGCTCATGGTCCCTTCTTCCACCTGCAGAAACAGCAACTACATCCCTCAGACCTCTGCTTCGGTGTCATCACATCTTTATTTAATTCTCCTGCCTCCCTCTTCCACCTTGTAAGGACCCCTGTAATTACATTCCATTCCTTCCCCCAACCCAATAATTCAGGTTCCTTTTCCCATTTCATGGTCCTGAATAGAATCACATTAGCAAAATCCCTTTTCCCATGTGGGGTAACACATACACAGGTTTCAGGGATTCAAACATGAACATCTTTGAGGGGGGTCGGTATTCTGCTACATACCAGCAAAGGATATAATCTTTGAATAAAGGACAGTCCCTAGTACTGCTTAAATTTGACTTTATAGAAAATTTACTGTGTTGTCATTGTATTACACTTTTTGCCCTTTGTCTTAGTTAGACAAAACAGAGCCTATGATAGGAGCTTGTGTAGCATGTAAGTATTTAGGTGGTGACCCCAGGGAGCAGAAGGGAGAGGTTTAGGAGATTCAGACAGGGAAGAAGGAAAAGTAAATATAAGGGTACATTATCAAAGTTGTTGCTGTTGGCAAAACAGGAGCTCAGATACCCAAGGACCACCTGGGAAGTGTACAGATGACCTCCTCAGATGCTCACTCAAAGCACGTCAGGTGGTTTCACCCGTATAGATTGACAGTAGTGTCCAGAAGTGTACACTCCATCCCCCTGTGAGCTATGCATGCATGTGGCTGAGTGAGACCCCCCCCGCCCCGCCCCAGCGTCTGCAGTGTCAGAGTCATCCCAGGACAGAAAGCAAAGTACCCATGTGAGATGAAGGAAGTCCACCTAGACTTCTACCAAGCCGTGGCTGAAGTTAGAGGTGAAGCCGAGAGGCAGTGAGGCAAGACCGCAGTGGTCTGTCCCTTGCACCTGCTCAAGCTCACCTACAACCTCACATTAAGTCCACTGTGACTAAGCCTTCAGGCTGGGAAGCAGCCATGATCTCTTCAGGAGATTTCCTGTGCAAGAGTTCATAGAACAAGCTACAGTGCCTGCTGCTACAGCCGATCCCAAGCCATAACTGATAATTGAGATCTCTCTCATCCACTGTACATCCTAGATTTCCCTCACTCAACACTTCAGATGGAACAGTTTGCTTCCCTGGGGTTTGGGGAGGAGACTTGGTGACTCTGACTCTCAGTCTGAGAGAACTGAGCCTTCTTGCCCTGAACAGACTGAGTTGTCACAATTACCTTTTCATTGTTATTACTGAGCATGGAAGTCACACAAATCAGATAATCACGTGGTGAGAAAGGGGAGCTGACTGGAGCCCAGGAACCATGTCAGGGGCTAGTAGCATGGATACAACTCTGGGAAGCACGGGTAAATCTAGGCTGAAAAATCTCTAAGTGCACAAAGATCTCTTTATCTCTTTGCCAGTTGCATTTATGAGTGATATCCTAGAAGATCCTGAACTGATGCAGACCCCACAGGCCCCTCCCATGACTGTTGACTCTGCATTCAGCTACATTGGCTTCCATGGAAAGAAGGGCCACATGACTTCAGTTGTAACTTTTCACTAGTTCAAGGTTTCCAGAGGAATGGTCAGTGTGCCCTTCCACTTCTCTACCACAAAGAAAAAGGTACTGATGTAATCAGTGGGGCAAAGCCTAGATCCTAGTTATTTCTAAATTCATCTTACCCAGGCCCCTATTTCCCTGACCCTTCTGGAAAACCACATTCCATCCAAAGTACTGGCTTGCACTTAACCAGGCAGGAGATTCCACACAGCAAAGGACAATTAAGTAAGCAATTCCGAGAAAAATAAATTCCCCTGTGATTATTAGCATTTAAATGCCTCTAAAGTTCTAGTATGAGTTAGTTATAGCTCAGTTTTCGTAAAATGACAAGTCTGCGGATCTTCACTGTGATAGAAAGAGAGACGGAGAGTGTTGGAAGACCAACTTGCCTAATTCACTGTTTTTACTCAAAGTTGACCCTAAAAATGAGGTGTTTCTAATGGCTTCACTTCTAACAGGATTCTCAGAGTTGTATCCATGCTACTACCCCCTGGCAGGGCTCCTGGGCTCCAGTCAGCTCCCCTTCCTCGCCACGTGCTCTCTGAACTTGCCTGCACGTCTCTCACCTCCATGATTTCTTTCCCACATAAAACATAATCCTCCTCTTCACCATCTTCAAGGCCACCCTCTCTCCAGAGCAGCTTAGATAACTCCAGGGCACAAGAGGTCTTTACCTTCTCTCTCCTCCTAAGACTGATGACATGCACCATGACTTTGTTTGCCTGTGACTATACATGTCTTTTATCTTTCATTGCTGTTTTATTTTCCATGTATTTGAATTGTTCACATGGGTCTTCTTTATACCCAGACTAAAGCAAAAACGGAGCGGTCTGCCCCTACCAAGTGCTCAGTAAATGACAGATGAGTGGGTTGGAGGATTAGTCTTGATAATTCCAGTCCCATTACCCCAGCTGCCAGACTGTATGGGCAGCCAGGTCTCGGCAGTCAAATGATCCCCTAGTTTGTGGTCCAAATGCCAGCAGCAAGAGGCCAAAGTCACACATCCTCCCACGGTTCCTCACTTCTGTTTCTCAAAGGGATTTTTAAGTTACTTTATGACTGTCTCCTTTCTACTTATTCTCATCAGTTGGCCTGCTCCTTGCTGACTTCTCTGACCCGCTGCAATCTTCTCCAGAAGTCAGTGAACAAAGCATATACTGCAGTGAGAGTCTGGTGGTGGGAGGTGCTCCAGTGGCTCTAGGATGTGACTGAACAGCCTAACTTTTAACCAGAAACGAAAGGTCAATGAGACCATTCTCTTTTCAAAACAGGGTTCTTGTTCTTGGCCAGTTGTTGCATTTTCATGAAGAAATGTGATGAAATTGGAGACAGGAGGTAACTCTAGCAACATTCTTGTGGGGTGGGAAGTGAAGCCCACCCAAGAGACCTGGAGGGGACTCTCTGACAGTGGTCAAGAGCATGGGCTGTGAAGTCAAACTGACTTGATCTTTAATAGTTTTTTTTAAGATTTTATTTATTTATTTGACAGAGAGAGTGAGAGAGCACAAGTAGGGGGAACAGTAGAGGGAGAGGGAGAAGCAGGCTCCCCGCCGAGCAGGGAGCCCGATGCGGGGCTCGATCCCAAGACCCTGGGATCATGACCTGAGCCGAAGGCAGACGCTTAACCATCAAGCCAACCCTGACTTGACCTTTAAATCCTCTCTCTACTACTGCTAGCTTTGAGAACATGAACATATAACTGAGACATCCTAGAACTTGGTCTCACATTTGTAGAATAAGGGTAAATAATGAGAGATACGTTAGAGCATGATTGTGGGGATTGAACGAAACATGCTGGCAAAGTCCTCAGCACTCGTAAAGCGGGGAAATGGGGAAAAATATCATGCCTCTAGCAAGAGTGCGTGGGACTGTGGCAAGGATAAAACATGGTTTTCCCATTGCATCGTCATATCATTGTTAGGTAACATCTAATTACTATAAAACAATCTGTAAGAATATAAGGATATAGACTAAGCTGCCACAACAGAGAGACCTCAAAATACGACTCCAACAAGACAGAAGCATATTTTTCTCTTATGTAATATTCAGAGATAGAAGGTGATTCAGAGCCGGGAAATACCTATATTCTGTTCTTTCTGGGTTCTTTCCATCTTGTTGCTCCCCCATTCTGTAGAATGTTGTCTCTGTTGAATTGTCAAAGCTGGATGACTACTACATCCATGTTTCAGAAAGGGAAAAGAGTGGTGGAAGACATATCCAATGTCTTAAGGCCAAGACTCAGAAGACCCATGACTTGAACTTAGTTTTCATGGTTGGTCACACCTAACCGCAGGGGAGGCTCCAAAATGTAGTCTTAAGAAGCCGTGTGTCCGGCTAATGCCCTCATAGGGAAGAAAGGGAAAAGGGATTTAAGGGATAAGCATCAGTCTGCCACAAGGTGACTAAGGACAGGGAGGATCGGGCCGGGTAGACTAGGTACACAGATGATTAATTAAGCCCCCCAAATCCTTATTGACATCTTTAATGTAGATGGTACTTGGCTCTATAGGGGATTTTGAGGTGACTTAGGTGAAGTCTTTGCACTCCAAATACTTACAGGCTAAACAGACTAGTGTGCATTGTCAGAAAGTCTCCAGGGGTGAGTAGAGCTTCTGTACATGGAAGGAGCTGTGAAGGTAACCTGCAAAGGACACAACAGGTTTGCACAGAGGTGTTAAGGTAGGGATTTCTCCTGTTGTGAGGACACTGAAGGTCCCAGGGCTCCCTGACTCACAGTGCTACTGCAGTGGTGCTTAATAAGCACCTCCTAAAAGTAAAGGAGCAGTTGTAGTTGGTGTGGGTTATCCACTGTGTAGATGAGCCAGGCTTCTGAATCCTTTCTTCCTTACTGTTCACCACACTGTTTTCAATAGAGACAAATATCTGTGGGGCCTGAGGTTTGGATCAAACAGATCCAGGCTTGCAATCCTGGCTCTGTCCCTTCTTTAGCAGTGATAACCTCAGATAGATTATTTAGCATCCCTGAGCCTTACTTCCTGAACTCTAAAATGAGGGGCTCAGATTAAATGATGTCTGATTTCTTCTCAGCTAAAACGATCTATGATTCTCAGATGGCATTGAGATGGGGGGAGGGAAGGCAGTTGGCAGGACCGAGCCCTTCCTCACGAGCAGTTTTGCCAGATTTTTCCTGGACCAGGCTCTTGTGTTTATTCTGTATAAGTTACTCCATGGGGCAAATTCAGGCTTTTGGAAAGGGCACAGTTTACTTTGGGTACTCTTCTACCTCCTATTATGAAGCCCCCTCCAGCCCTCCCCATTGTCAGTCTGGAGCCCTTATTCTAACCTATAGATACCCAGAGCTCTCCTCTACAAGGCCTTCCCCTGTCTCCAAAATTGCTCCTCTCATCCACATCTCTACCAAACTCACCTTTTCCTCAGTGCCAGAACACTGATTAGCTGAACCAAGGAAAGGACTCATCACAGTCATTCATACTAAGGTATGAATGACTGGATTTTGTATGTTAACACTGTCTACAATATTGTGTTTTTCCAAAACGATCCTGTTAATCCTTGAAATTGAACGACTATTGGCATAGATTCTGAGCGCTGCGAGTGCTTGACAGTAGAGGGAGAGGACATGTTTGAATTGAGGGACTAACCTACTAGAAAGAAAAATGATGATGATGATGATGATGGTAATAGATAGACAGACAGACAGACAGATAGATGTATCAGAATGATGAAAAACACAGAATCTGGAACCAGACAGCCTAGATTATATCTTAGCTCTGTCTCTTACAGCGTAACTTTGGGAAAGTTTCCTAGACTCTCTGCACCTCATTTTCTTCACCAGTGAAGTGAGGGTCATTGCAAATCCTGCCACATGGGGTGGATGTAGGAAGTAAACGAGCCAGTACATCTGGCACACACAGATCAGAACCTGGCATGGAATAAATCCTCGCTGTACGTCGGCTGTGTTGGTTGTAACCTACTCAGCTGGCCAACTTGTTGGTTTACCTCTAAGCTACCATGTAATGGGATTCTGGTGCTTTTCTTTCATCCAGGTGGCAAAGAACTTGACACCTCTTCAAATCGGCTGCTTCATGTTTTCATCCCTTCCTTCGTCATTGCTTTGATGTTCGTAGCTACAATGATAGGCTTAAGAAAACAGCTCTTCCAAAAGCTTTCCTTTAGAAAAGGTGAGTTTTATTCAAGGTAACCAAATGGACTGGGTGTCTGCAGTGTGAGGCTCTGCTTTGTCCCAATGGCCTACAGCTTCCCAGTTTCACATGAATCTCCTCAGGGCTTGTGCATCGCTTTGGGCTCAGGGGGCTCGTCCTGATGGTCTTTCCCCCAGAAGAAAATGGCTCTAGTCTTCAGTGAGCCGAAGTCCTCATACTGAGTATTTTAAAAGGAATGTTTTGTTCCTGTGCTAAAATAGTTTGCTTTGTTCTTTGAGCCAAGAAGTGTCATTAGCCTCATGAGATCAGTATTACTTTGGCAGTGCAGATGGCTCTGTGGTCAGAGTTCATGGGTGAGAGGGTACCAAGATCACCTCAGAGGATTCCTTCGGTTCTCATCCCTCATTTCCCCAGCCTGGGTGTTAGCTGGGCTGAGCCTTCCCCCCAGCCCCAGGAATCTGAATCGCCTGGTCCGCAAGGAAAGGAGAAAAGTGTGTGAGGCCATTTAGGGACAGGAAGAGCACCTGTTTTGATGGTGCCCTGAAGTCTTTCAGCAGCTCCCCGGGAGGCCCTCCTCATCCTGCCCTGTTGTCACCCACCCAGTCCTGCTGTGCAAACTTTGAACCCTGGCCACAATATCTGCAGACTGTCTAGTGCTTTCCTAGACTGTTCCTTTGTCAGCACCCAATGAGCTCCTCCCAAAGTCTACACATGGCCTTGTCTATAGAAAAGAAATGACATGTGGGGATAATTCACTAGGAATTTGGGGTGGCCACTATTTGAGAATTGGGGGGCTTTTAGGTGGTTGTCATGCTACATTTACAGTCTAACTTCTGTATTCTCTTCTGCCATAAGATATTATCATGCTCTGTCCATTGCCCTATGTATGCATCAACTTGGGTGCTAACCGCAAAACCCTCTACTATAAAATCCGAGGAATTATTGTCAACAGTAAGGGAGGGTGAGGGTTGAGGAGGAAGGAAGAAGTGAAGAAGGGAGGGAGGAAAAGAGGAGGAAGGGGAAAAGAAAAAGAGAGAAATGAAGTCGATTATCATATGGTTTCGCTTACTTGTGGAACATCAGGAATAGCGTGGAGGACATCAGGAGAAGGAAGGGACAAATGAAGGGGTTGGAAATCGGAGGGGGAGACGAACCATGAGAGACTATGGACTCCGGGAAACAAACTGAAGGTTCTAGAGGGGAGGGGGGTGGGGGATGGGTTAGCCTGGTGATGGGTATTAAGGAGGGCATGTACTACATGGAGCACTGGGTGTTATACGCAAACAATGAATCACGGAACACTACATCCAAAACCAATGATGTACTGTATGGTGATTAACATAACATAACAAAAAAAAAAGAGAGAAATGGTAGAAACAGAGAAGAAGGGCATCTCACCATAAAGGAGGACTTACAGCATCTGATAGAACTTTAACTAAACAGGATCACTTCTGCAAGTCTGTGACCTCAGAGAGCCATGGCAGGTGCCCCTCGTGAGAATCCTACCTTCTGCCATCTTTTACCTCCCCTAAACACACCGCTAAGAAACAGATCTATACCTAGTTCCGGGCCTGGGGCCTGAGATCCCTTTAGTTACCTCAGAAATGAGCAAGAGTTTTCTGTCCCTACTCTCTTTGGAAGAATGAAATGCGGTCACACTCACAGGTAGAGCAGAAAAAATTCTTCCCCTCATCCTTCATCCCAGTCTCAAGGTGAGGGTATCTGTAGTTCCAAGTCGGATGCAAGGCTCAGGTACCAACTGTGGTAGGAGACACTTGTTGCTAATGAGAATTAAGTGAATAAATTTGCAAATGATTCCCTTTTTGTTTTTAATGAGCCAGAGTGAAATCATGGCTGCCTATATAATACCCACCCTCCACCTCCACTCCACAACTCACACGCACCGGGATCTGCTTGCTTTCGTGGGAGGCACTCGGACACACATGTGGAAATGCATCTGCCATGCACACAGACTCATGTGTCATGGAAGAGGGTTGAGAATGGCTGACACCATGAACAGAGCTTCAAGCCAGGGTCAGAAGGCTAGTTCTGCACCCTATGCTGCCACATATTGGCTCTGTGATCTTGTATGAATTACCTAACTTCTTTGAGAAGTTTTTATTTTTCTAGCTGTAAAATGGGAAGTGACTTTGTTACCAAAATGCTTAAGAAAAAATTGGCCCAATCTGAGTAAGTATTATTTTGGGCAATGGAAGGAGAGAGTCTCCACCCAAAAGAACTGAGTTTCTAAATGTTTGCACTAGATCTCTATAAGTGTCTCATTGGGGGCTGGTAAGCAATAGGTCACCTTCCACCACTAACCCATGGACTCTACACTTTGAATGGCACTGCCTTAAAAGACTGAGCCAAGACTTTACAGGGATTTAAACCAAAGCCCAAATATGTTGGCTAATGGTTGCATAAGAACCACAGAATGGCACCACTAACCCCAAGCATTAGAGAGGATTGCCCTGAAGCTCCGCCATGCAAGGGCAATTTCTATGGGTTCACTCTTAGGCTTCTTTCATATGGGAATCCTCTTAGAGGAGATGGCAATGCTAGATGGAGGCCCGCAAAGTCCAGGCCAAGGTCAGTATTGTCATGAGGGCGTTCCTAAAAATCTGGTGGACAAAGCAAAGGCAGAATTAGGGATGCACTGAGTTCAGAAACCCAGGCAACTGCAGGACATGAGCATCCAGCTCTGGAAGAAAATCAGAGTGGGGGAACATGTGACGTTAGCAGTTGAGAAAGATGAAACCAGGGGAACAGTGGTGAGCAGCATCCTATTATGTAAATTTGTGCTTCTACTCCCCAAGTTGCTTTGAAAAGTATCTGTCATTTACATCCTAGTGTAAATTAATTGATGAGACCTCTTGCTCTGTGTAGGGCAGACAGGAGGGAAGTGGCCGTCAAGAGCAAAGCAGAAAAGGGAGAGAGAATTCTGAAGCTGGACGTTTCCTGGGCTGAATACCCAAATCAGCAGTCCCTTGGCCTTTGAGTGCCTGGGACCAGGGGCTGAGAAAGGAGTGGAAAGTAGAGGGCTGCTTTGTTTGCAATTTTCACCCAAGGGTACAGTTTTACTCTATCATTCAGCCTGAGGTCTCAAGCCAAGCCACAGAGCACATTTGGGCTTCTATACATGTGATTTATTGGATTAACTTTTTGTTCTGCCATCTTTTAGTCTAGAAACAGAAGACTTTTCTCGTTAATCTTATCCCATCACTGGGGATTTCTCTTTTTCAGACACAACAAAAAAATCTGACACCACCGTAAGGAGGGAAGTGGACAAAGCTGTGAGTAGTCATGATTTTTCTTACCGTTTTCTCTCCCAGCTTGAGTTAAGAAATAGCCCCTGTTCTATGAATGCACAAAGGGCAACTGAATAGTTTCAGCCTGTACAGAATCTTCCTGTTGAGTGGCATTTCAGCCAGCTGCCGTTGTAAGCTTATGTTGTTCTGACCTTTCTTGGGAGGAAAAAAGGTGTCTGCTGGACAACCACAGAAGCGTTGTATAGCCTTTGGTCTGTCTCTATTCCTAAGTACTCCTGCACAGGACACCTGGGCTCACATACTTAGAAACATGGTTAACACTTAACAGCAAGGCAAGATATTCAACTGTGAAGCAACCAACAGCTCATGGTTTTGCAACAATTACTAAGTACATTGCTCGTGGCTGTGGGTCAAGGTTGCCATACTCAGGGAGCAGAAGTCTCTTCAGGAGGCTGACACGCTTGGAGCTATAATTTGTAGAAAAAGATGTGATGTGGAGGTCAGGAGAATTGGGGTTGCTAAGACCATTGAGGCTGGTTGGATGAAAAGCTGAGACCCTGGAGAAATGGTGTTTTGGGGACCCACAGACCTGGGTCATAGTGCGCGAAGAGTTATTTCTGGCTTTCTTGAGAGAGCCGCCTTTCCTTTTGTAATCTAGGAATCGTGTGGTGTGACACATGAATTCGTGAGTTCACCATAATTATAGGCAACTCACAGAAATTTCTAAATAATTTTGTTATCAGCCACTCAAAATATTCAGAACTGGTCATTTTAGAATTCTGCTGAATATATATGTCAAATTCCAGAGACATCAACTGTAAAGATAACTCTAGAAAGCCTTCAATACCAGGGTCTGCATCTGGCTGATACAGAACACATGGCAACTCGTAAGCACACAATATGACTGGAAGGAGTGAAATGAGGCCCTGCACCCTCCCACCTCCCACCACCTCCCTGAGAGCCGCTCGTGAAAATACATCGTCCTAACACAGTACTCATCCCTGGGCACAGAGCCAAGGAACAGATGCAGCTCAGGCCTGGACTGTTCTTGAGGTCCAGTTATGCTGTGTTTCTCTGGATCAGCAGTGAGATTTTCTTGACTCGGGAAAGCTTCAGATTAATGTTGGCTCTCCTGATTGAAACATCTGTTTCTTGAGAAACAAAACTCATGTGTTCCTATAGATCGGTCCATTTTGCCTACAGGTGAGTTTCCATGGGAGCGGCCTCAGCATTTGTCTGAGTTTCATGAGCTCTAGTCTCTGTATAAGTGTCTCCTTCAACTGCTCAGCATGAGGAAGACATGGTGAAAGGCTTGAGAGCAGAGGTGGTAAACTCAGATGCCCACAGGGCCAGGCAGGTGCTGAAATGAGTAAAAAGGACATTCTATAACTGGATCGGGAATGGTGACAAATTGGCGGGCATATTCCCTGTCAATTTAGCACTAGCCTAAAGCTGTCAGAGAAGATGGAAATCCAGATTTTTATATAAAATGTCTTAGTTATTAAATGTTGCCCGAAAGTATTTCAGATACCAAAGCAAATAAAATATGTCCATAGGCCAATTGAGCTTATCAGTGACCATATGTAGCCTCTGTCCTAGAGAGAAAGTATTGTCAGAAAAGAGATTAGAAAAAAAAAAAAAGAGGGCGCCTGGGTGGCTCAGTTGGTTGAGCGACTGCCTTCGGCTCAGGTCATGATCCTGGAGTCCCAGGATCGAGTCCCGCATCGGGCTCCCTGCTCGGCGGGGAGTCTGCTTCTCCCTCTGACCCTCTTCCCTCTCGTGCTCTCTATCTCTCATTCTCTCTCTCTCTCAAATAAATAAATAAAATCTTAAAAAAAAAAAAAAAAAAGAAAAAGAGATTAGAGTCTGAGTAACGAAGGCAGAGCTGTCTATCTGAGGACCTGAGGAATGCTCAAAGGCTTGCAACCACTCTAAATGTCCCACCTTATGGCCCCCGTGTGGTCTGAATATTGAACTGTTAATAGAGTGATTTCTTTGGATTAACAGGGTATCACAACCATTTTTATTTTTTTAAAGATTTTATTTATTTATTTGACAGAGAGAGAGATAGCAAGAACAGGAACACAAGCAGGGGGAGTGGGAGAGGGAGAAACACACTTCCCGCTGAGCAGGGAGCCCGATGCGGGGCTCGATCCCAGGACCCTGGGATCATGACCTGAGCCGAAGGCAGACACGTAACGACTGAGCCACCCAGGTGCCCCTCACAACCATTTTTAAACAATACATCTCCTTATAAACAAGAAAGATCTCATACCCTTTTTTAGTGGTATCTGAAATTCAAAATAAATATCTTGGCCAAAAGTCAAATTAAAGAAATTAGACTAATTATCTTCCCCCCCAAGCAATTATATATAGTTACCCTTTGTACCTTCCAACCTGGGGAAGGGAGAGTCAAGGAGGTGAGAGAATGATGCTCCTCTTCTCTCTTCCTCATCCCCCTGGCACTTACCTTAGAATATGTGGTGTGCTGTAAAGAGGTCAGGACCACTTAGGTATAGATCACAGAGAACTCACATAGGAATGTTCCTGGTACTATTATTTACAAGAGCAACAAATTAGAAATAATCATATGTGAATCAACAGGAGAACAAGTGTATAGGAAGTATATATAGCAACTGAAATGAAAGCACAAGAACTGGATGTGTTTCTGAGATGGATAACTTTGAAAAATATAATTTTGAGAGGAAAGATAGATTTCAGAAAGATATAGACAATATGTTGGCAATTACAGAGTTTAAAAAAGCATGCAAAGAACCTCCACATAGTGTTTATGCAAACAGTTACGTGGCGTAAAAGTACAAAAACAGCATGGAAATTATAAACACCAAATTTAACCTCTTCAACTAGGTGGTGGGCACGCAGATGTTGATGATATTATTCTGGGTGGTGGGCACACAGATGTTGAGGATATTGTTCTGGGGGGTTGGTATGCAGATGTTGATATTATCCTGGGAGATGGGCACGCAGATATTGATGATGATATTTTGGGTGTGGGCACGCAGATGTCGATATTATTCTGGGGGTGGGGCACACAGATGTTGATGATATTATTCTGGGGTTTGGACACACAGATGATATTCTGGGGGTTGGGCACACAGATGTTGATATTCTGGGGGTTGGGCACACAGATGATATTATTCTGGGTGGTGGGCACACAGATGTTGATATGTTCTGGGGGGTTGGTATGCAGATGTTGATATTATCCTGGGAGGTGGGCATGCAGATGTTGATATTCTGGGTGGTGGGTACACAGATGTTGATATTTTGGGCTGTGGGTATGCAGATGTTGATATTCTGGGGGGTGGGCACACAAAGGTTGATGATATTATTCTGGGTGGTGGATACACAGATGTTGATATTATTTTTATACTTTGTTGTATGCCTAAAATATTTTTATAAAAAAGAGGTCATGATTAAAATTCAAGCGATTTAGATTCAAGTTTTTCTGTGAGCTAGCTATACAATTTTAGGTAAGATCTACCCCCTTTCTGGGCTTCAGTTTTGTCACCCGTAAACCTAGAAGGTTGGACCAAGAGCAGAAGGGCAAACAGGCCCCCTGTCAGGTTCAGGAGGTGGCTAAGGCAGAGATGAGGATGGTTTGGGAGACCATTTGTAGGCAGGGAGTGTGGTGATTGATGAATGATGTCTGCTTTGGGTGGGGGATGGGGAGAAGTCATAGATCTTGGCCATATATTTGCCAAACATGGAATAGATGCTCTTTTTCAAAAAACAGTTTTGTATTTATCTCTGTTTCTGTTTGTCTTTGTCATGTACATACGTACTTTAACACTTCGATAATGCTGACACATTATGCTGTGTTCTACGTGTTCCATTTGCATTCAAAGTTATTTGCAGATTGATTCAAATGTAGAAATTGACAATGATCAATGGTGGTGGGATATTAAAAGAAAAAGATGGCTCATTTTTACTTATCACAATGCTTTATGATTTTGTCAAGACAAATACCAAAGTGTTAGATTTCAGTAGATTTTTTTTTAAGTTCCTCCCTAGAAAGTTACTCACCAGTTGTTAACTCCCTATGGAGAACTCATTTAGTATTTTGGAGACTATCCCCCATGAAGAAGAGGGAGCAGGGCATGGAAATCCTGATTTGAGGAATGGAAAGGGGATGGGTCTGCGGCTCATTGTTTGGGTAGCTAAGAGAACTTGATACCTGTCGTTGAGGGAGGAGTACCTCAGGCTTCTCCAGGGAAACAGAACCACAGAACCACTCAGAGACTGGCAAGTGTGAAATCTGTAGGGCAGGCTCACAGGCTGGAAGTTCAGCTAAGACTTGAAATATGGAATCCAAAATCCGTAGAGTAGGCAGGCAGGCTGGGAACTCAGGTGGGATTTCTATATTACAGTCTGAGGCAGAATTGCTTCTCCTCTGGGAAACCTCGGTTGTTGCTCTTCAACTGACTGAAGGAGACCCACCCACATTCTAGAACGTAATCGGCTTTATGTAAAGTCACCTGATGGCAAGCGTTCATCACATCTACAAAATACCTTCACAGCGACATCTATACTAACTGGGTACAATAGTTTAGCCAAATTGACACAGAAAATTAATCATCACAGGCACCAAGACATGAGGGGGGCAGTTTTGGCTGGAGCAAATGAATTTGTCAGACTTCCCTGAGCCTTAAAAAAATAGAAGTATGTGACTCTCTATTATCTGGTCACAGATTTGTCCGAGAGGCCAGGGCTCTCTCTCAAACCCATTCAGCCATGAACCTGCCACTCCAGATGTGTGCGCAGACTATTTAGGGTTTTCCGCTCAGCTCACTGCCTCTTTCAGCAACAAAAGGACATGTGTGGTATCAGCGTCCTGCACTTGATATGTTTTGAAATTATGAATGGCTGAGTAAATATGGAGGGAGGAGAACAACACTGTCACCAGAATTCCCTGATAAAATTAAACCGAAGAGTTTGGAAATGATTTGTCTGTCTTACTGTCCATTTGTCTGTGCTTCTTGTAGTTTATTCAGCAGTAAATGTAA